CAATGGTGTTATTTTCACACGTGAAAATAACATGTTATTTTCACGTGTGAAGATATCAATTTTTTGAAATAGAGAAAAATAGATATTTCATCGGTAATTATATAATAAATCTCCATATATATATTGAGATACAAAGACTTTTATCAACTGATTGAAACCCAGAAATAGTGAAAAATCCAAATGAAAATGCAGAATTTTAGGTGGGTTTATGGTTGCAAAGAGACAGTTAACTTTCCTCACACTTCTAGTCCAGTGTCAGGTTTGAATCCTGGATTCAGCGGGTAGAGTTTGACTTGAGTTAGTTTGTTCACCAAACATGCTAAATACACTTCTTCAACTTAGGCATAATGCTTTTCCATTTTAAACCATATGTCATTCTCTTGAGTATAATTTCTTTGTTTTACAGTTGCACATGGGAAGACACATGAATGTGAATACAACTCAATCAAAGAATCTTATTCTCAAGAGAAAAATGCATGGTCTGAACTAGGAAAACATTACGCACAAGGTGAGCTGTGTTTTCTCTGACTCAGATCAGTGTAGATGATTACCAGTAATGATTGTATACTACTGTGACCCATAGAGCTATAAAAATGGGACATATTGGATGAGATACGAAAGAGAACTAAAGGGGACACAGTATTTCTCTTATGGGTTGCCTGTGGGTGAGACCACAGGTAACCCAAAAAGAGTTCTTGTAAACCAAGGATAGTGTCGTACCTGTAATCGGCTGAGATCTTCATTATCAAGTCCTGTTGCTTTGAGATGAACACTGACCACAACAAAGTCAAATCTTTTGGCCTGATGTTACATTACATGCAAGACAAAAGGTGGAGAATTAATATGTAATATATAGAGGATATTACGTAGGAGCGCGGAGATACGAATTTTATCTTCGAGTGTTCAATTGATATTTAAGATATCTAAATTGAACATGAGAATATAAAATTCATATCTCCAAGTGGCCATGTAATGTTCTGTTTATTATATAGATATCAATGGAACTTAAATAAAACAAAAGCTCAAAATTTCTTTATCAAAATAGCAAGCCAATTCAACAGCGATATCTTCAGGTGTGAAAGATATGGTATCTTCCACTAGTGAAGGATATAAAGTTTTCGACACTAGAGAAAACCTGGTATTTCATCAATATCTATATAATAACCTCTTTAACTGCTATAGAATTGATTAGATTGAATTACAGCTCAGAGTGCAAAAGTATGACCACATTTAATGTATTCACATACAGTGAAACCCCTCTATACCGGACCCTCATTATACCGGAATCCTCTCTAAACCGGACAAAAGTTTTGGTCCGGAAATTTTTCCCATATATCTTTTGTAAAATAAACCTCAGTAAACCGGAACCTCTCTATTCCGGAAACCGGACRATAATTTCGGTACCAAACGCTATTTGACAATAGAATTCAACCCCGCTAGTCCRGAAKAACGTACCTTTGTTTCGGAACTACCGTCACTAGTGTATTTGCGGGTGTATAAATTGAGTTTACAGGGACAACTTCTAAACTCACAAAATCATCGAAAATTTTCTTTAAATAGTAAATCTTGTTCACAAATAGACATATAAAGACTAATTAATTGTTTTCAATATATGAATGTTCAAACAGAATGCATAAGGAAGGTTTAATAGTGTTGAGAAACACTAAAGATCGAATGGTTCGCGAAGTTGCGGCCGCCATGTTTTTTCATGTCACATGGCTTTGGGGTCATTCCCAGTCCATTTTACCGGTGATTTTGTTCAGATTGTATTTACAATGTTTCTTCTTGGCGTTCTTTTGAAAAAAAAAGTTAAGAAATTTGCTTAGTTTTTGACCTTATTGTTGATATTTATACTTGAACTTTTCATTTACATGTTTGTTTATACTGACACCAAATCGCACCTATTCAAATCGAAAACAAAACTAATTTGTAAAAACCTCAGTATACCGGAACCCCTGCTAAACCCGAAATTTTTATCGGTCCCAGCACTGTCCGGTATAGAGGGGTTTTACTGTACTTCAATGCACAGGCTTTCATATGTTAAGCCAACGTTACACCATCTTGATGTAAAGCTTGCTGGAATGAAATAAGGCATGTAAAAGGTTGTTTGTTAGCCAAAAGCCTGTACATAATATGGTAATACTTTTGAACATTGCACTGTAATAAAACATATCTTCAAAACCACATACACACACCTTGAAGAAGCCAATGAATGGTCTTCTTGCAAATTGTTTCTTGCCTTGTAAAGGTTTCTCCAGAAGATCATGACTCTTCAGCTCAATGTTACGACTTGAGTCAAATAAGAAGCCATTGAACTCTTTAGACTAAAAGAAGGCAGACACAGATTAGCAATAAATAACATAAAAACAACTTATATTTTACAACCATCACTCCACATAAAGGGCTTTTTTGTGAGGTTTTCTCCACACGCACTACCACTACATTCTATATTTACAACATACAACACTCAACTCACATGTTGATTTCTACGGAGGAAGGAAAACTGGAAAACCTGGAGAAAATCCTCTTTGCCAAGGGTTGAAAAAATAAAAAGGAAAAAGAGGGGGAATAGAAGGAAGGAAAGAAAAAGAAGAGGAAGAAGGAAAAGCAAATTTATGTAATAAACAAAGCAAGGGATGGAAAATGAGGCAAATGCAAAACAAAACAAAAAACAAAAATAAATGGGAATAAATGAATGGTGAAATAAAATTAATAAAAAACATTGGAAAAAAAACTTACCCTATACATTGGACCAGCTACGTCGGAGGTCACACACTCCCAATAACTCTTGGGTCTCTTTAATTGTTCTATCTTTTTCAGGGTTGGACGGTTGAGCTCATCTTGAATCTTTAAAAAAAACAACCACGCATCAACCAATTGCTCATTTCTGGGATGTTGTGGACGTCATATGGAGGTCATGTGCTAAGATATGCTTGTTTTTGTTGCAAGAAGTATGAAATAAATTTAAATCTGTGTGATCACACAGAGTAAGTTCATGTGAGTGGCTTACTAGTAAAAAGATAAGTTGACGGGTTGTTGGGGGGGTACTCTTGCCCGTTTAGGGTAGGGATGTGCCGCTGAGCCCTGACCCTGCTCCAGAGTAAAATCACTGAAATTCATACCCTGTTCCAGAGCAAGACCAATGAAAAACATACCCTGTTCCGGTATTGCGAAAATAGACACCCTGTTCCAGAGAGGAGAGAGCGTGATTTCATATACCCTGTCCCAGAGTGAGCGTGATTTTATATACCCTGTTCCAGAGTAGAATCGCTGAAACCATACCCTGTTTGGCGGCACGTACCTGTATAGCAAATATAGGGGAGTACCCCCCCCCCGGTTGCATTATATATGAAAGAAAACTAAAACAAACCAAGTGTAATGCTTTCTCATCTCCAATTTCTTGAAATACAGCAACACTTATTCTGCAACAAATAAAAAATTTCATCAGTGATTAAAGATCTAGACAATCAGGTGATTTTGCACACGCACTTCCAGGTTTTATTAACCAATCAGAAGCATTTTTGTTGCATCACCAAAAGTTTCATGATGAATTTCAAAATGGTGTAATATCTTGAGTCAACTTTCTCAAAATATGTCCTGAAATATAACTTTACATTGAAAAATTCTATATTAAATTGACCACAAAAGCTTCCTCTTGCTCTATCAGCAATT